AGATGGTACAAGCAGATTATATGCAGATAAATGTAAAGTAGGACAGTACAAGCTAAAGAGACTGATATAGAAGTGAGGATGATTAGTGAGAGATAGGTAGACCATTACTAGCAGGTGTCTTCGTGTTGGACTTTAGTAACCAGTGGTTCTGAGTAGAAGATCCTTTAATAAACACCAAAAATGTTGCCTTGCTAATGCACAACATGGAATTCAGATGGCACAGGATTTCAAATGAAGAGGTGAAACCTCATTCATCTTATTTATTTGGTTGTTAGTAACCAAACCCAAAAGTGGGTAAACTGAGGTAAGGTTGGTTTTGCTCTCCTCTGGATCCATGTGTGAGCTGTCTGCAGTTTGTATTTCATCACCAGCAGAGCTGAGGAAGGGCAGGGGAGTTTCAGGTTTCCTGTCTGTGTGCTCATGCTTTGACTTGGCTGAACACTCAGAGATGAGAACAGAGCCCACCCAGTAACACTACAATCATTTTGCAAACTCACATGGGTTGAAGCACAGGACAAATGATTGAAAAAACCAAAACCAAACAAAGAGATAACATTTTTAGTATCAAAGAAAGAACACCCACTCTGGAAAAAATAGTAGCTGCAAAACTTTAGGGCAACTTTAGGGTGTCAAGTAATCGTTTCTCACTGTTTAACAAAAACAGCAAAGGATTAATTGTAAATCAGGCTTTTAGAAATTTCTGGTAATTAAAATTAACGAATGTATGATGTGACAGATTTACATAAAAATTCAGTAAAGCATCTTAAAGTATGTTGAATGTTGTGTTTCCATAACCGTGTGTGTGGAAGGAGGACGGCAGCAAAGCTGATGTTTCATCATAACTCAAGAAAAATGACAAACTGCGTTCATGGAGACGATATGCAGATACAGTCTAGAATAATATATCACTCAGAGATTACTAAACACTAAAATAACAGTATGCTGTCAGCTTGTATTCTATACAGCGCTGTACTGTATTTTCTTATAGTAAGAAGCCAATCTTCGTTGTTAGAGTAAGCACACTTTTATTAATTAACTTGACAGGGAATTTTCTCACTCCTGATCTCAGCTTCACCTCATTCACAGTGTATGTTTTTTGACTGCATCAGTGTGAACACATAGTCAAATTTGCTGTCTTTACAGTGAAGAATTAAATTACAGAGTAGTCTGCAAATGGATCAGAGCTGCATTTATTCCACATTTATGTAGTATCGAGTTATAGTAATTACCATTATGCCAAAGCCAACATATAAATCATAATTCTTTTCTGAATTATTTCTGACTTGAGACTTACTAACACAGAGTGCCTGAAAAAGTCAGTCGTTTGTTATAATTAGACCAATTTATCTGTCTTTTTAAATGTCACTGAGCCGGGCCCAGCCGCTCAGAGTTGTGAATATTTCCACCCCTGCTGTTTGACCGAAGTGTGTCCAGCTTGTGCATCCAGCACAGTTGAGAGGAGAAGTCTAATGTAATTGTCCAAAGTAAGTGAAAACACGTGTGGATGAAACATGGGTGTTAAAATCATTAGTTTGAGATTATATAACCTCACCTGAAATCTTAAAGGAAAGTTTGAGTCAAAACCAGAATCCATCTGGTGCGATTAGTATTCCTGTCGCTTTCTTGATGTGATTTTTATTGCACCTGTTTAGAGAACGGAAACTTCTTTGCTGTTTTTGCTGTGCGGACTCTTGAAACCTCAGCAAACTTGCAGTGTGTTTCTCCTCAACGACCGCACTTAATCAAACTGAGCAGGGACCTGATCAGCCATATAAACTGCAAACACCTGTGGAGGTCTGCAGGGCACTTTACTAATTACATTTATTTATAGTTAGGTGTCGCAAACGCCTCCTTTCCACTGCTGTTTTGTGTTACAGGGATTTCGTAGGAATTAGAACTATTAAAAGGCACTTCATTTGAGTCAGCGTGACTGCATGGAATAAATCTTCCGTCCAGATAGCTCTCATCTTTATGCCTCATAGTCAGAGCAGGCATTGTAATGTTTTATATGCATGTCCGTGTTTGTACTTCGGCGTCTCCACTTGTGGGTGAAAGACAAAGTAAAGTGCAGTTACAAGGTGCCGTGCCCTTGTGAGAAAGTGCGCCCCTAACAGTAATCCTATTTTAATCTGTCTCTGGAGGATATCTGTCCTGGATTACCAAATATGAAGAATGCTGCTAGGGAGGGAGCACAGACACACTGAATGAGGTAATTTAAAGAGAGAGATGATAGAACAGTTGCTATGGATTCGCAGTCTCATAAAGTCGATATTAAAGACTGAAAAAATAGGATTATATAATCTGGTGAGTGTATTGCTCCTAAATCTAGAACTCTTGGCTTAAATCATTGGCAATTTTATTTATTTTGGTGATACAATCAGTTTATAATTACTGACAGTTATTCCCAAGAGTCATTGTTTTATTGAGTTGGTTTGACATGTCACATGAAACCAAAAATACCTTTATTCCTACTGGAGGCAGCTGGGACGAGCTTTGAGATGATTGATGGTACTCCAATAACAAACATGCGAATATAAATTTATTTGTTTTCTAAAAGCTTCCAAAAACTCTCTGAACAGTTTAGATTAGCACTTTTATATTTTAGAACTAGGAAACATTACTGTGTAAAAATGTACAAAACCAAAGGGAACAAAGAGGTTCTCTTCACAGAATAACTGTGTTGCATTCAGCTTTTATTAAATAGGCACAGTGCAGATAGTACGGAGAGACCAAAAAGAAAGCTGGGGAATGACATTTGGTTTGTATCCAGTTAAGAAAGAAGCCAGGGACTCCCTGCTGATGCTATTCATACCCATGTGGTATGTTTCCTAACCTCTAAGCCAACTGATGTCCCTGAGCAAGTTCTCACACTCTGAGACATGACTCAGAAAGATGCGTTTAATTATATTTGTTTATATATGTTTTTGGAAGCATGTTCAGTGTTACTGTACAAAAATGACATTATTGTCCTAACAGGAAAGAATAAGGAAACAAGTATGAGAATATGCTGTGATCTGCAGCTCTTTAATATGACGTATCTTCATTAAGTAGCTATTAAAGATAATTTATATGACAGTATTATTTTTTATATATCTAAATCTGTTTTTGCTGCCCAAAATGTTGAAAAATATATTTAAAAAGACAAATTGTGATTTAAGAATTTTGCTGGATCTTAATTCTTTTGAGGGCTAATATTTTCTGCTATTTAACACAAATCTCTTGTCTCTACACAAAGCAATAAAGAATCAAGTGTGAGGTAGTGCTACTCTTTAGTTGACCTACAGCATGTAGATACTACTGAAAAGCAAAGGCCCGTGTTTCGCAGAGGAGCAATGGCTTGCTCTTGCTTTTTCTCTCTCATTTCATTGTCAAAGAAGCTGCAGGCTGCATGGAAAAGGTTGAAGGTTCAGGTCAACGTGTCAGTGAACGTATCCCTGCTCTGAATGAACACAAATCGATTAAGGTGTGCTTTGACCTTTTGGTTTATTCCCTTTCTCCTTTACTTTGTGATTTTTCACAAACCCAAAACATTAACTTGAAAATGTCAGACCTTATTAAGTCAATTCAACACACCTGGAGCTGAGGTTGTTTTCGATTCACATGCAAATATAACATTTCTGTGACAACAGACCGCCACTGTGGAGGCTTTGGGTGAAGTACATTTTGGTTTCGTGCCTCGCTTTCTTTCAATAAATTGCACAGAGCCGAACGTGTTCGTGTATGCTCACCTAGATGTTAAAATCCAGTTGCACTCTTGACTAATGATGGTGCTTATCAAATATTTATTAAAGAGCCAGAAATTATTAGTGGATGCTGTTTCTCAGAGTTGCTCTGCAGATTTGATCTGTTAAAAGGAAACAGTGCCTCTCAAGAAACAATCATTTATCATCATTATTGGCACATTTAGCCAGATGTTAAGTGTTAGAGGCAGCCATTAGGCTTACAGAAGGTTAGATCAACATGCCGATGTTTTTAAATAAATTACATGTCAAATATAAAAACACAGGGGGAGGAGCCAAGGCAAAGATATTAAAACTAGGAATAACTATGTGTAGAACTCTAACAGTTTATGAATGATTATTTCCATTAATCAGTGAAGAAAATAAAGATGAAAGAGACGACATCTTCTTTTCATATCCACGGTTTACACTGTATCCCTTGAAGCAGGTGCAGCTCAGTGTAAGCAGGGGAAAATTTATAAATAATAAAATATCTGGATCTGCGCTGGCCCGCTTTGTGTTTGTTTACGTGAGCTTATTTGCACATGTTAATCAGCGCATTTGTGTGACTGTCATGGCAGCCATGTGGTGCTATGCATCCACAGGGCTGCCCATCGTTTGAATCTGTTTAGCTTGAATAACAAAACCGACGTGCAGCGTATTCCACGGCTCTGCCCTCTCCTCGTGCCAAGAGGGTGACGAGGACCAGATTCCTCGGGCCCAACGCTGAAATTAGATCAGACCAATCTGGGGAGAGTGTTTAGAGGCTCGTGCAATCGGACAAACAGAGAATGGGGAGAGATAACACTGGCACGGACTCATCAGATTATAGAAATAATTAGTTGTCATGGATAACAGTCATCATTTGATGTGATTGGGTGGATTTATGCAGCTTTGGGAGCCTTGGATGGTCGCTTAGGAAGGAGCTGAGGAGGAAAGATGAAAGACAAAGAATTCTGCTTTGGCGTAGCGATGCGGCACCAGCTCGCATCTGTTCTGTCAGACTGTGATTACTGACAAACACTTTCCTTCCACTTCACAGTTTACACAAGTGATGCACTGATTGTGAAATCCTGGGCACATAACGATGTCTGAAGTAACGATTTGGCCTGCAAGAAAAATATACAATCAAAAGGCACGCATGAGGGCAAAGGTTTAAAAAGGCTAAATGCATACTGTAGCTTTTTGTAATGTTCTTCTTTTACAGCTTTGTATTAAAACAACATGAGCTGCAGTAGCTGTCTCTGACTTTTCTTTCCTGTTTCCTGTTTCCTGCTGCAGAGGAAGGCGAGTACTTCCTGAAGGTTTTGATTCCCAGCTATGCGGCGGGTTCAATCATTGGGAAGGGAGGTCAGACCATCGTCCAGCTCCAGAAAGAAACTGGCGCCACCATCAAACTGTCCAAATCCAAAGACTTCTACCCCGGTAAGACACCACGACCTCTGCTATATACGGATGAATGATGGAGGAAAATAAAGGAAAATGTCATCAATAAGAATTTACATGATGGGAAAACTTCAAAGTAAATCATCTGAAATAATGACACAAAATATACCACTGTTTGCAGGATTGTCTGAAATGAACTTTTGAGGGGACTTACCTTAAGTTTATTTTTAAACCGGCAGACAAGCATTCGTTTACAGCTTACATTTTATTTTTCTGTTTAAAGTATCGTATTTATTTTCAGTGCAGTTCACTGAGATATAACTCAGAGAAAAAAAACCCTTTGTTAATATGCTG